AATCAATCGATAACCATTATATACAATTTATGCCGAAATGCACATATGACCCTCAATGCACATACAATGGGCTTTTAAGTCAAAATTCGTAGATTTAACATTTATTTTTGAAACTTCGATATCCAATAAAACAACATAAATGTTCATCTTTTCATTTTAGAGCAGTTCATAATCTAAAATTATTCGTAATATCATTTCCATAAACATTATGAAAAACATATCGAAATGCTATAAAACATACTTTTTTATCAAAACATTTGAGTTTGACTCATCACAAGCCATCCTCAACTCAAATAAGTACATAAAATGCACTCACTTGGTATGCCTCGGTATTATGCCTTAATGATGTTCGACTATTCGGCAACTTTATCCTTGCCCTTTTGCTTGCTTGATTCAGGAACTTGATTACGATCTACACAAGCATCCATAATCACAAATACAATACAAATGTTAGTATACTTTCTAACATTTATACAAAAATAATAATACTCAAAAGTATTATTATTATTCTCGAATTATATTAAAATTAATCCTAACTTAAAATTCCACGTTGAATAGTATCGGTACCCCTCCTATGGTATCGATACTTCTATACTATGGTACCGATACTCCCTTCGGTATCAATACCATTTTTGCATTCTGGAATCCATTTTTCAATAATAGTATCGATACATTTCTCTTGGTATCGATACCCACTCCAGTATCAATACTACTTGCATCAGTATCGATACCCTTACCCAGATTTTACATATTTCACTTCGATGTTTACCACATTTTCGCCTAAATCTCTTACTTTTATCACCAACTATAACAATAAACTCATCATTACTCAATCCAACTAACTTACATCCATAAATCTTTTTATAACATCCAATAATTCCAAAGAACACTCAAAACTAAGAATTACACCAATTTTTCAAACTTGTTTTTAATCACTTCTAAGGCTCTAAATCTCTTATCCCCCTTGACAAGTAAAAAATGCCTTTAATCTTCAATAACTGACCAAATTTCATTAAATCATTTAAAACTCATTTTATTAAATCTCAAATAAATCATTCATCTCTTAGTTTTAATCCTCCTTGAACTTTCCTTAAGCTTCTATATCACTTAAGGCTTCAAAACCAACCCAAAAATGAAAGGAAAACCAACTTGAAGAAAATATTACCTTAGTTATGGGGAGAACGGGTACGATGGGAAGAAGGAGAAGAAAACCAAGTTGCCAGCTTTTTACCATTTCCCATTTCCAACCTTAATAAATATCTCTATCAAAAATGAATATTAAATTCATTGCTTCTAAAAGACTAAGTTGCCCCTCTATTCATTCATTCATAATAATTAATCTTAAACACAATTTCCTAAATCATTCCCTATATTTTTCAATTTACTCAATTTAACCCATCAAATTTTAAATCCTTTCACTATGGTCACCGACCTGATATTTGGGGTATTACACTGATTGTCAAGTAGACGTGTCCTTGAATCGTCTTGCCATTTGTGTAAGTGATAACATACATCACACAAATATCTCCCTGACAAGAATTTGGTTCTCATGGTTATGTCCATATAGTCGTGGATATCTCCTAATTCTGTAAGAGCTTAGAGAACTATGCCTCAATAGTCTCCTTGAAGTGGCACCACTTGACTCTCACATAGGTGACTTATGTTGTTATGCTCACCGAAAAAATAGTGGTCATTAAAAGCATTACTTAATCTTTTCCACATTTTAGTCATTGTTTTCATCATAGGAATGAACTTGGGATGAGAACCCCCATAATGATCACACAAGGTCTATGCAAGTAGGTTGACCCATTGAACTCAGATATTGGGATCTCCAGTCAATTAAGTTGGGTTTTCCTTCATATAGCGCCTTAAATATTCATGGGCTTTAGTCTCATTCATTTTTGATGTTTTATCAATTTGATCTTAATTTAACCTTTTGGTTAGAGGATCTACAATGTTTTCTTTCGATCTTACAAAATCAATGAATATAACTATTAATTTGAGATCAATTGTCTAATGGTATTGTGCTAGTGACGCATAAATATCATAAATTACATTATGTGATCTACCAATTATTGTTTAGTTATCATAATATATGTTTATTTTGGCGTAGACTTTAGCCATTCAGGAATATACTTCAAAATTATTTATAGCAATTACCTTTGCAGGATACCCTCACACTTTCAAGTAACTGTAAGAAGGTTTTGTGGAGTCTTGTCATTTTTCTTATGGGACACCTTATTTGAAAGGTAATTAACTAATAAAATAACTCTATCCACATGTCTTGTGACAACCTATAACATCATAGCACGACATTAATTATTTCTTTAAGATAATTCTCTTAATTCGTAGCACAATATCATTCATAATTCTTTAGTCGTCTTATGGATGTTATACACTTCATATAATGCATCCGATAAATATGATTCCAACATAGAATGATTCCAAGCTTTGACAGCATTAACTACAATAATAACATTTACCACATCCTCTCTAATAATAAGAAAATCATCATGCACATATATGATCCTATTTAATATGGTCAAATGTAACATCCATATTTGCCATGTTTTAAATTTCTATCCATATAATTTAACATGCTTCTCATTGTGAATCACAATCATCGATATCGTTGAATTTTATTTGAAGCTTAGAAAAATCATTCCATATCACTATTTAATCGAATTGATCAAATTATCTAATAATTCATTTAAACCACGAAATTATCAAATTTGAATTGTAGATTGAAAAAAAATCATCACGGACCACACTTCCCCACTAGTTCATTCGTTATCCATGATATGTTTGACTTAGATTAAAACGTAAGTATGTTTCTGATTAAAAGAATAAATAATCTATCTTAATATTGTTAGACAAAATGGTTAATCTGAGGAATAGAATAAGTCAAACATTTTAACCTTGCATGATATAACTTGTACCTCTAAGATTTGTGCTCTAACTAGTCTATTTATAGAGGAGAGTTGACGAGGAGTTAATACTATTTGATGAAGGGATTAATTAAAAAGCTAATAGGTATAATTGAATATATGCAACTTTAAACCAAGTGACATAACTTATTATTAATAAGTATTTTCACCAAGTGACAACATTTATCATAAAGAGCATAAATTTATTTAATAATCCATAATTTTCCAACACCATCGACACAAGAAACTAACCACTTGTGATAATATAGACTATACAATAAAAAGGTTAAAATCCAAACTAGAAATTTTGGAAAAAAGATATAGATACGAACTATTTTGATTGCATCAACAAACAAACTACAAAGGAGTTCAAACTACTAAAAGACTACCAATAAATCACAAAACAAAGTTAAACAACGTTAGAAAACTATCCACAAACGCAAATCGTGAATCCAAATTCAAATTAATGGTCAAAAGTAGGGAAGATTATCATGATAACAAAAAATTTATCATCTTGATTAATCGAGGCGACATTCAATCCTAATCGAAAATATTTGTCAAACGATTGATAAAGAAGATTGAAAATATGTAATAAAGTCATAGTTATTAAAAACTAAAAGAACAAATGATAAACGACATATAATATGAAGAAAGTAGGGAAAAATAAAGAATACCGATGATTGGCTACCAACACATAAGTTAGTGCCATCGTCGCTTGTCAAACAAAGATGAAAAAGTTTAATAGTATAACGATACTTCATTTGGGAATGCTTCTTCAATCGAGTTTTTCCAACAAGCTTTCCAAACGTAAAAGTATCATTTTTCCAACTTTTTGGTTTGGATCAATAATCACATTTCAAACATAAATTTTTGACTAAAAATGAAGTGTTTGGGATTGCTTTTATGCTGCAAACGGATTTTTGGGCCAAAAACACTTCTATAAGCATTTCCAAACAGTCCCTTAATGACTACACTATTAAAAATCAATAAGGTAAGTTAAAATTTTAAATTAAAGAGGAAAAGTATATAAATATTTGACAAAAGTAGCATATCATATAATTTAATGAAATAAATAATAATAATAAGGATAAACTACACAAATGATCACTAATGTTTAAATAACTTTTTGTTTTTTAAACTAAAGTTTCAAAAGTAATAAATTAATCATTAATGTTATCAATTTGCAACAAAATGGTCTCTAATATTATCGATTTGTAATAAGATGATCACTCTACTGTCATTTTCATTAAATTGATGACGTGGTAACATTAACAAGAAGGTAAATATTTAGTTCTACTCCTAGACTATTGTTAAAACATCAAATATGCCATTAAACAATGATTTTATATCTAATTTACCTCTACAAACTTTATTTTTTAAAAAAAATCTAAAAACTATAATTATACCTAAATAAATTTTAAAAAATAAAAATCTATAAAACATTAAAAATGTAAAAAATAAACTAAAATATCTAAAATATTACTAAAAAAAGTAACGAGTTTATAGAAAATAACTACTAAATATAATTTTATTATTTTAATTAACCCCAATTTAGTAAGCGATGACGGGTTATTTGAAATAATATTATTCTAAATAATAAAAATTAGGGTTAATTAAAATAATAAAAATATATTTAATATTTATTTTTTATAAACTAGTTATTTTTAATATTTTTTAGATCTTTTAATTTTAATTTTTCATTGATTTTTATTTTTTAAAGAGTTATTCAAGTATAATTATAGTTTTTAGTTTTTTTGAAAATTAGAAACATATTGTGATAATTAGATATAAAATTATTGTTTAAAGACCTATATGATGTTTTAATAGTAGTTTAGGGATAAAAATTAAATATTTTTCTTTTTTAACATTGACACATTATCAATTTAATAAAAATGATAATAAAATGATCATTTTGTTACAAATAGATATCGTGACCGTTTTATTACAAATAATATTCATAATTAATTTATTACTTTAAAAACTTTAATTAAAAAAAGGAAACATTAGTGACAACTTATATATCTTACCCTAATAATAAAACGACATTCGGTATTTTATAAGAGAGAGAGAGAGAAACGGCATTCAAGCAAAGTTCCGTTCGTATTTCTCCAAAACTCCCTTTTTCCGATCCGAAAACGTCAGTAATACCATGGCCACCGTTTCCCCACGCGAGGAAAACGTGTACTTGGCGAAGCTCGCGGAGCAAGCCGAGCGCTACGAGGAGATGGTCAAGTTCATGGACAACGTCGTCTCCGCCGTCACAACCCCCGAAGAACTCACCGTGGAGGAACGGAACCTCCTCTCTGTCGCCTACAAGAACGTGATCGGAGCCCGCCGTGCCTCCTGGCGAATCGTTTCCTCCATCGAGCAGAAGGAGGAAGGGCGTGGCAACGCTGATCACGTCTCCGCCATCCGCGAGTACAGGGCCAAGATCGAGTCTGAGTTGTCCAACATTTGCGCCGGAATTTTGAATCTTCTCGACGAGAAGCTCGTTCCAGCTGCCGGAAACGGGGATTCCAAGGTCTTTTATCTGAAGATGAAAGGAGATTACCATAGGTACTTGGCTGAGTTCAAGACGGGTGACGATAGGAAAGCCGCTGCCGAAAATACGCTCAATGCATATAAATCTGCTCAGGTTTGTGGTCATTTCAGTAATTTACTATCTGATCTTGTGCATATGCATTTGTTTGTTAATTTTAGTGTTCGTTTCATTTTAAATGCTTACCGTGTTGAATATGTGTGTAATTTTATGAATCTGTTTTATGCTTAATTGCAGAATAGTTTGATTTGGGGGCCAATCTAGTTTATTGATCTACATTTTCAGTTATTCCCATTATATGCTGTTTATTTCTTACTACTAAGATCGGGATCTGCTGTGAATTACGTTTATTTATTTGGAAACATAAGCGTGTGAAGACAATACATGGAATTGCAATCGAAAATTCATGAAAATTAGCTAAAAAATGGTCTCATGATATTGTTTCGAATGTGGTTTACATTTTCTACGAATATTTCATGATTGTGTATGTGATTTGAGTTCAGTTTTTTTTTGTGTGTGGGATGCAAGTTTGCATAGTTGAGTATCTTGTCGGGACCAAGTTAAATTTTCTTTATATTTGCACCTCAATTACTCATCTCCTGTGCTTCCTGTCTACCTAAGATGTGAAATTCCTGATAGGCTTTGCACTGATACAAAGTATTACAGTTCAACATTGTGCTCTTCGGTTTATTGAGCCTTTTATATAGTCTTGCCACGAATAGTTGCACTTCCTGGTTATGTAGACTTGTGTTACTGCCATTGTTTTCTTTAAATACTTGACATCTACTCTTTTTCTTCCATTCTTTTTCTCAGTTCTACGTTTGATTTTTGAGTTTGTTAAAGTGCATCTGACGGTGGTTTATTCATATTTTCGACTTTTATTTATTTTATCTGCATCTTTATGTTCTGTTTTCTTTTTCAGGATATTGCAACCTCTGAGCTAGCCCCAACTCATCCTATTCGTTTAGGATTGGCTCTGAACTTTTCCGTCTTCTACTATGAGATCTTGAATTCTCCTGATCGTGCTTGCAGTCTTGCAAAACAGGTAGGATAACAAAACTTTGGTATTTTAGTTCAGTCTCGATGTTCATCTTGTTCATCGAAAACATTGGTCCTTGTTTTATATACTTTCGAATAGTATTACAAATCCTTTTTCATTTGGAGTTCCATTAAACATTTTGTCTTCAAATTCTATTTTGTCAACTTGCTTTCATCATATGAATTGTTTCCTTAGGCTTTTGATGAAGCCATCGCTGAGCTGGATACCCTCGGAGAGGATTCATACAAGGACAGTACTTTGATAATGCAACTTATTCGTGATAACCTCACATTGTGGACCTCAGATATGCAGGTTAAACCCCACACGTGTTTCGTTTTATTGACTTTTATATGGTGCCATCATATGGGGATTTATCAATATTAACTATTATCTGTTTTCTTCCATTTAGGATGATGGAACAGATGAGATCAAAGAAGCTCCCAAAGCTGAGGATGAGAAACAGCAGTGAAGTCGGTAATGTTCATGGTAGCATTTTACTTCTCTGGTTGTTTTTGTATGGAGAAGTTGATTGGTCCGATTATCCCTTTAGTCATTTGTTTTTTAGGAGATCAATCTTCGATTTATGAACCTTGGAAGTACTGCTAAAAGTTTCTCAGTATTTCACATGTTATTCTTTTCGAGTGGAAGATTTGTGATTGCAGTGATGTGATGTACACTCTTTTCTTAGTCCTTTTTCTCGACAATAAGGGAGCTGATGATTGACATGTTTCTTAAGCTTAATGTTTGGAAGATGTTTTCTTGAGATTATGAGATTGGTTCTTTTATATAATTTTGTTGTCTTATGGCGTCGTGCACTATAACTGTCATCCGCTTCGTCTTAGCTTGTTTGCACATCTAAAGAATTTGGTAGAGATTAGGTTTTCAAAACTACTGTTGCTTGGATGTTTTTAGTTGAATTTACGCAATGACACGAAACTGGCATTCATGGGTTTTATCATTTATGTTGCTGCTTAATTCCATGCGGTGAAGGGATTTTGTAGTTCAAATTCAAACTATTTTTTCTATTGATTATTACTTGTTACAATTGCTGATCAAAGAAATATCCTACATCCACATGGACCGGTCACCTTAGTCTTCATTTGACTTGTTTGTAATTAATTTAATAAAAAATAATTATTTATAATAATTTAGTACATAATTTTTGTTGACATGTTTTTATATAATGTCATCATTTATTTACATGTAAATATGCCAAATCAATATTCCAGTTCACCTAGATTTGTTTAATAAGAAACGTTGACCGTTGACCGTTAGTCATTAATAGTTTCTATCCAAAAAGGGACTCAAAACAAGACATTAATGGTCAAACTATTTTTAAGAAAGAATAAAAATTAAAGTACATTAAGGGCTTAATTTTAATATTATATCTAAATAAAATTAAAAGAAAATTTGTATAAAATGTTATCTTTAACTCACATTTTTTTATACAAAATAATTTAGGTCAGGATGATTCTCCCATTTCAGGATTAGGGTATACTTAAGACCTCATTGAGATTTACATATAAATTTATAGATACTCGTTAAGGGGGTGTTTGGTTCAAGGATTGTGGGAATCTCACATTCCCATGTTTGATTGGCCGAGAATCTCATTCCCGGTAATGTTTTATTATAAAAAGTAGATTTTTTGGAGTATATTACAGGGAATGTCATTACCTCCATTCCCTTAGGTATTGTAACATTACCGACGTTTTGGACTAAAATGCTCTTAAATTTTTATTTTTTTTCAAAAATATTCTTCTTCTGTCATTGAATAATAAAAAATCTACGAAGGTTAAATTACAAATTTATCCTTAAATTATTTTAGATTTACAAAAAAAAACTATAATTAAAATTTTATATGAAGTTCAGGGGTTAATTTTTTTTTACCATTTCATTAAACCTTTTTTATATTTTTAATTTTGTAAAAAAATTATATAAATATTATGAATTTAATTTTTTAAAGAAAATATATAAATATTTTACAATTTGTAATATTATACAAATTTATAATAAGGACAATTTGGTCAAATATACATTCCAATAATCTTTTATTCCTTTTAACCAAACACAGTAATCTTACATTCCTGCTAAACCAACCAAACACAAAATACAACATTCCTAGTAATCCTATTCCCTGGTAATCTTTTATTCCCACTGGTAATCTTACATTCCGTGAACCAAACACACCCTAAGAGTAGTGATAATAGAATTTGAACTTAACCTTATAAGCTCAAATTTTTGAATCTCAACCACTTACACCAACATTCGTCGACGTCTTTCACTCACATTATGAGTGTACATAATCCATACATTTTCAAAATTTATGGTTGAGTTTAGTTTCACTTACCTTAGCAACATTGAATCAATTGAAAATAATAAAAAATTGAAATATAAAATAAAGTACAGATGTATAGTGTCATAATATTAATTTTTATTTTATAATAAATAAATATCATTGAAATTAATTTAAATTATTCTTAAATTTTATTAGTTAAAAAAAATACACTTCAGTCACATGGATGTGATGAAAGTATATATGATTTAAAGAAAAAAAGCAGGCTTAGAAGATTGTTTTAGAGTAGTATTGGGCCGGGGTCCATACTTAAATCTGACTTGACCCAAAACCAAAACCGACGTGTTTCAGTTTTCTAAGTGGGATTATATCCATCTCGGCTCTCTCTATATAAATAATCCCTAAAAATCACTCGGGGCTCAAAATTTTGTAGCACTGGAACATCCACAGATCTGCAAGCCATATAAACCAACACCTTCAGGTCAGTCGTCGTTTCTATTCGATTCGATCTTAACTATTTGATTTGATTTCATCTTTCGTTTTTTTTATTCTAGGTTTTTATTGATTCTTCTCTAAAAAAATTGTAGAAAAACCCTAATTATGGACATAGATAGCGAGATAGCGAAAACCCAAGAAGAGCGAAGGCGAAAAGAGGAGGAACTCGCCTCGCTTACCTCCCTAACTTTCGACCGGGATCTTTACGGCGGGACAGACAGGGATGCTTACGTTACTTCCATCCCTGTCAACGAGGACGATGATGCGAATCTCAATTCCATGGATTCTGAGGTTGCTCGGAAGCTCGCCTCTTATACGGCCCCCAAATCACTCCTCAAGGAGATGCCCCGTGGTGAAGAAGATGATAACTCGTTAGGGTTTAGGAAACCCGCGAAAATTATTGATCGTGAAGATGATTATAGGAGGAGGAGGTTGAACCAAGTCATTTCTCCGGATAGACATGATGCATTTGCCGCTGGAGAGAAGACGCCGGATCCCTCCGTGAGGACTTATGCCGATGTGATGAGAGAGCAGGCATTGAAGAGGGAGAAGGAAGAGACTTTAAGAGCTATAGCAAAGAAGAAAAAGGAGGAAGAGGAGGCGGCTATGGTAGAGAAAGAGAGTGGTGGTACAGCTGCTGCGGTGCCTAAGAGGAGGAATAGATGGGACCAGTCCCAAGATGACGATAGTTCTGCTGCAAAGAAGGCTAAAACGTCTGATTGGGATTTGCCTGATGCGACTCCTGGTATTGGGCGTTGGGATGCTACACCTACGCCTGGGAGAGTTTCTGATGCAACCCCATCAGTTGGGAGGAGGAATAGGTGGGATGAGACACCAACACCTGGGCGGGTGGCTGATTCAGATGCAACCCCTGCAGGTGGAGTTACCCCTGGTGCAACCCCAGCTGGGGTTACATGGGATGCTACTCCAAAAGGGTTGGTTACTCCTACGCCAAAACGACAGAGATCTAGGTGGGATGAGACTCCTGCAACCATGGGGAGTGCGACTCCAATGGCAGGGGCTACACCAAATGTTCCTCTTACACCTGGGGTTACTCCTTTTGGTGGTACTGATTGCAAACACCAACTCCAAGTAATCTTCGCGGGCCTATGACTCCGGAGCACTATAATTTGTTGAGGTGGGAGAAAGATATTGAGGATAGGAATCGGCCATTGACTGATGAGGAGCTTGATGCTATGTTCCCACAAGAAGGGTATAAGATTTTGGAACCACCTTCATCTTATGTGCCTATTAGGACACCTGCTCGAAGCTTCTTGCTACTCCAACTCCTATGGGAACTCCACTTTATGCTATTCCCGAGGAGAATCGTGGGCAGCAGTTTGATGTGCCTAAGGAACCACCTGGTGGGCTGCCATTTATGAAGCCTGAGGATTATCAGTATTTTGGGTCATTGTTGAATGAGGAAAATGAGGATGAGCTGTCTCCAGAAGAGCAGAAGGAACGGAAGATCATGAAACTTTTGTTGAAGGTAAAGAATGGAACACCACCACAGAGAAAAACTGCTCTGAGGCAGCTCACTGATAAGGCAAGGGAATTTGGTGCTAATGCATTATTTAATAGGATTCTGCCATTGCTTATGCAACCTACATTGGAAGATCAAGAGAGGCATCTCTTGGTTAAGGTTATTGACAGGGTTCTGTATAAATTGGATGAGCTGGTTAGGCCTTATGTGCACAAGATTCTTGTTGTGATCGAACCCTTGTTGATTGATGAAGATTATTATGCACGTGTGGAGGGTAGAGAAATCATTTCTAATCTCAGTAAGGCAGCTGGCTTGGCTACTATGATTGCTGCAATGCGTCCTGATATTGACAACATTGATGAATATGTTAGGAATACAACTGCTAGAGCTTTTAGTGTTGTTGCTTCTGCACTTGGGATTCCTGCACTTCTGCCATTTTTGAAAGCTGTGTGTCAGAGTAAGAAGTCATGGCAAGCTAGGCATACTGGGATCAAGATTGTTCAGCAGATTGCTATTTTGATTGGTTGTGCTGTTCTTCCTCACTTAAAGTCCCTAGTAGAAATCATAGAACATGGTTTGAATGATGAGAATCAGAAGGTGAGGACAATTACTGCTTTGTCTCTGGCTGCTCTTGCTGAGGCTGCTGCCCCCTATGGTATTGAAAGTTTTGACTCAGTTTTAAAACCATTGTGGAAGGGTATCAGGTCTCACCGAGGTAAAGTATTGGCTGCATTTTTGAAGGCCATTGGTTTTATCATTCCTTTGATGGATGCGATTTATGCTAGTTACTATACAAAGGAAGTTATGTTCATTCTTATCCGTGAGTTCCAGTCTCCTGATGAAGAAATGAAGAAGATTGTGCTCAAGGTGGTGAAGCAATGTGTGAGCACAGAGGGTGTTGAAGCCGAGTACATCAGGAATGATATTCTACCCGAGTTCTTCAGGAATTTTTGGGTGAGAAGGATGGCATTAGATAGGAGAAACTATCGGCAGCTTGTGGAGACAACTGTTGAGATGGCAAATAAAGTAGGTGTTGCTGACATTGTAGGGAGAATAGTGGAGGATCTGAAGGATGAGAGTGAACCCTACAGGCGTATGGTAATGGAAACAATTGAGAAGGTGGTTGCAAATTTGGGTGCATCTGATATTGATGCCAGGTTGGAGGAACTTCTGATTGATGGTATTCTTTATGCTTTCCAAGAGCAGACCAGTGATGATGCCAATGTGATGCTTAATGGATTTGGTGCTGTTGTGAATTCACTTGGGCAGAGAGTGAAACCTTATCTTCCCCAGATCTGTGGTACCATAAAATGGCGATTGAATAACAAGAGTGCCAAGGTCAGGCAGCAGGCAGCTGATCTTATTTCAAGAATTGCTGTGGTTATGAAACAATGCCAAGAGGAACAATTGATGGGCCATCTTGGGGTTGTTCTATATGAGTATCTCGGTGAGGAGTACCCTGAA